TTATTTTTTCTTGCTGTGGGTGTCCTCCCACTACTTACAATAATGTTATGACACCTGGAGTAACACTCAGGAAACATTTGTTAATGGATGAAAAATGAATATCTATAATGGCTGTATTATAGAAGCTTTTGCATTTGCTGTAGACTCTTGTCCAGTCCAACAGCCATTCTTCCTTCCTCCTTTGCTGCAGAATCCAGTTATTATTTACTAATCTTCCCTCCTCCATATTGCCATAAGTTTTAGAGGGTGTGGTCTTCAGACCCAGTGCTAGAAGGTGGCACTGGGCAATGATAGTGATTCCATTTCTCTTGCTTGTGATTGGTCTCAACCTGGTCACATAATCTAGTCAATGATAAATTAGGGAGAAATTGACAGTGGGGCTCTAGGAAAGCTTCCTCACTGATAAAATGGGCTTTCTTGACAAGAAGGGTCTCTCCATTGATATATCTACCTGACTCCTGAAACTCTTCAGCCTTCTTGCAATCTTGAGAGAGCCAGTTAGAAGACAAACTGAGAAGCCCCAGCATGATAGAACAAAAATATAGACATAATCTGAGCCTCTGATGACCATGTCTAATTATGATATAATTAACTGTGGAGCAACTCTGCTTCTGGATTTGTTTTTAATGAAACAAAAAATAAGTTCCTTATGGCTTAAACAGTTAACATGTTTTTTTCATTGTTGTTGTTGTTGTCACTCTCAGACAAAACTATCCTAAATTTGTCACTTTTATCATAATTGTACAGATGATTGGTGAAAACTAAGCAGTCCTCACTGGTTGAAACTTGGAGCTCAATGATCAAAGAATAAAGATGCAATTTTCTTGTCTTCTCCCTGTTATAAAATTTTAAGAAGCATCAACTATGATAATGCAGACTCTAGTGTTGATTTAACAACAGGAAGAAAAGTCATAACTATCACAAATCTTATAAACTTCTTCAAGAAGAGATATTACAGATTTGGGCAGCTTTAAAAATTATTTATGAAGATGGGTGTAGCAGAATATTTCCACTCTAAAATGAGATAACCTTGTAATTGGTTATGTAGATTTTTTAAACTGATTTTTTGAAAGGTCATGGGCAAAAACAATCTGTTCCAAATTATGTGTGGAGTCCAAGGTGATTCTGGCATCAATAACCAAATCAATAAAGTACAGGCAAAGCACCCATACTCTGTCAGTATCTTTAAAACAGAGAAATGTCAATTCAGAATTTAGTCTACTCACAGCAGGAAGTTTTGTGCCAAGGCAAGCTTATTAGAAGTTCAGGCTCCTATGTGCTTAGCTATAGTATTATGGAAGCAAATTATAGGATTAGCTAGGGATAAACTATTATTAGACCTGTCAATATTTGTTAACATCTCATCACTGCCTCAACACAGCGGCTCTCTCTTTCAAGCCCCTTCCTCTACACTCTACATGTTTTGACCTTTGGCAATGGGTCATAGTAAGCGCTTGCCTAAAAGACCCTGCAAACTTAATTCTTAGTTACCCTGAGTTTTCTGAAGATTATAGAGGCAGGTGTATACAACCCTGCTCTGCATTTTAGAGTGATTTTTGCTTATAGAATTCTGAACATAGAGTCCCAAAGTCATATAAAAATAAAGCAACTGGATGATTGTGAAAGAAGAAAAGATCTTTGAAACCCTGACTAACAAGTTCTACCAGTTGCAGCAAAGAAGTCTTCCATTGAGTTATGTGGTCATGACATTCTCGATCTTGAGCTGTCTTAACCTTTCTAGATCTTATAACTACCATCATTTCATATATTTTTCTTTCTCTTCTTCCAACCATGTCTTCTTGCCCACCCTCTTACCCTCTATTTCTTATAAGTTTGAGGTGGAGGAAATTTCCTAATAAGAGTACAAAAGTGAACTTCTAGCTTTCCATCAGTTGAAGATAGTAAAACGTGGCATATTCTATTCTCTTAAGAGTTTAGAAACATTCAGAGGGGGTTAAACCCATACAGGGTATTTGCATGCTCCAAATTTATCACTGGGGTTGTTTCAATGTGGCTGAAGTGATAGAGAGTAAGGTTTACAGTCAAGCCAGCCTGAGCTCACATTGTATCTTTGTTACTCAGAAATTTTGTGACTTAAACCAGAAATTAGTCAATGAAAGATAAACCTCCGCTTCTTTATTTACCAAATGGAGAATCCCACTGATGTGGTGAGGATTAAGTGAGAGAGGAAATGGGAAGCAGAGTAGCATTTACTCATTCTGCAAATGTTCATTGAGTACTGCTCTGTTTCAGGCTTATGTTAGGGCAGAAAACTAAACATCAAACGTGGCACAGAACCTGACCTGAGGCATTTTCACCCAATGGGGAAGGCAGACGTGTCCATCAAGGATTCTAGAACAGAAGCATGGAGGAGGCTGGAGATAGCGATGATGATGATGGTGTAGTGACAAAGAAGGCCTCCTAATAATTACGGCTGCTGAGATATGTTTCAAAGAAGTGGACAAGGAGAACTCAGGGGGGAGGGCAGGTAGACTGAAGGAAAAACATGTACATAAGCCGCAGACATGATCTTTACTGGAGTTTAAGGAATTACCATTTGGGCTATATGACTGGGTGGAATGTAGTAATGGAGGCCATGATGGGAGGTGAAGCCAGAGGATTTGTCAGAAATCCCACAATGATGGGCTCAGGTACTAAAAGATATGAACTTTGAACTTACCTAGGTCACTTAGTCACCCAGCCTATAAGTGGCAGGTATCTATCACTCAGGTGGAATTCAAGTTATCTATATTCCAAGGCCAGGATATTCTCCATTGTAGCTCAGTTATTCCTTCTATATGGGACCATGACATGGTGAACTCAACCTCGGTGCCTGCAAAGATTGTC